ATGTTTTTGTAAGGCTCAAAATAAAGTATTCATAAAATGTTTGTGTTATTATAGACATATATTTTAAACATTTTGGAAAGTATACATTCCAACCTTTAACAGCAGCTTTTGAAGTCCTGTGTGACTCTTAAAAGAGACATATTATATTATGTGCTTTAACAAGACAGCCTTATTATGGTATTTTAACCCTGTAGAACCCAGAAATAAAAAAAAAATATATATATTTGTTGAATAGAATTTATCTGTGCTATTTTTGGAAAGCAGCATTCAATGACCAAATTTGGCAATGCGCTAATATTTAGCATATTAGCTTCCTTGGGTTCCTGGGTAAAGACATTTGTTACTTCATTAAACCAAAAGGTCAAACTTCTTTTGCCAAAACTGTTTAACTTTCTGTTGCATATAGGTAACCGAGGGTGCTACGGGGTTAAACAGAATGAATCTTTGAAACGTCATAAGAGCAACCACCAAGATCAAAGGCACAGTAATAACATTCAACTTTGGGATATCTCAAAATCATGCGCCAAAAATCTTTCTCTGTTCAAAGTGCATTGATCAAGCTTAAAGCAGTGAGTACATAAGTCAACTCAAAACACAATCTTTTTATTAATTATTTTTGCTATTTGTTATTTATTAAAAATAAACACATCTGAGATACTGGGTCTTTATTTAAAGATAGACTCTTGTCACTCTTCCTTCAGTCACAGCAGCACAGAGAAGTCATGAGTGAACGTATTTGGGGGAAAAGTGAAGAGCTCGGAGCAAACAGCTCAGTGTTGATGCCGCGCTGTGTCACGTTGTGATGTCACTGTTTCACTGTGAGTTCGGGCCCCGGGGCCCTGTGTGTGCACTCAGACAGAAAACAGGAGCTAATGTAGAGGTCCCAGGATCCAGTCAATTCATACTCATAAAAAACTCTCACACAAAGCTCTGCTCATACAGTGTCTTTGTGAGAATGACTGCAACACATCACCACAGTGTCACAGAAGTTTTAAAAGTCTATTTATCTGGAGTGTTTTTATTTATTTTGAGTTCAATATACATCAAACATTAATTATCAAACACTACATAGAATCCTGCAAATCATTCAAACTAAAAAAGGATTGGGAGGGAGAAAACATCTTGTAGCAGAGCAATGCGCAACAACACAGCAACCAGCAGCACAACGACCCCAGCCAATCACGACGCAGCAGGCACCAGAGCAACAACAAACCAGCGACGCACACAAAAAGCCCTGCGCCACAACTACACACACCCTACCCCACAGGTCACACGTTCAGCCAACATCAATCAACCACAATTTCTATATTAATTTATATAATATTTTCCCTTGGTCTTATTCATATTCGTATTCTTTAGTTATTTACATGTCTACAAATAATTTTACTTTATTTTAATAACTTCATTTTAATAATTTTTTCTCTACACATCACCAGCCTCTCACCACACCAGAGCCACTGCTTTCCCAATCATACACCACCTGCCATCACACACCACCACCAGCTCCTTCAATGATCCTTCACATGAGTTAGTTTCAGAAAAAACGGATAGATACACCATACATATTCTTTAGTTACAATATACTATAGTTTTGTAAAATGTTCTAAACTCCTCTCCAGTCTGGCTGTGGTGCCCTTATACTGTACCTGCATGTGAAAGCCTGGCACTGCAGACCTCAGACGCTAAGCAGGGTATGGCCGTAAAGTACCAAACATCTATTGTGTCGTAAGGCAAGACACTTTTTCCATATGAAAGACCTGAATCTGAAATGGTACTGTACATACTGGTAATACTTAATCCTTTCTTACAAAAAAAATTAACTTGGCTAATGTCTGATTTTTTTGGCCTTTCAGAGAGCAGTACATTAACTCGCAAATATCAGACAATAATAGTAAGATCAGACAATAAAAGTAAGATTTGACTGTTGAATCGTGTGTGGTGGTCAGAGCGGTTGATGGCTCTGATTGACAGCCCTAGGTCTGTCTACCCCAAGGCGACTGTGGCTACATTAGTGGTTTACCTCTGTTGTGTATGGAGCATCCAGAAAAGTCCCAAAAAAACCACCCCTACGCATTAAGTTTAAGTTTTATTTATTGAGGACAATGTGCTGTTACATTAAAAAGATGGCTGCACCAGATTTAGCACCTGCTAGTGTCCACCTGTGGCCCTTGACAACACAATCATAGAACTTGCATAGTAATATATGGTTCAAATCAAAAGTTTCTAAGATATTGCATTATTATTATCATTTTCTCAGTTTCAAATATGTTTTTAAATGTGTGTCAAATAGTTTAGAACGCTGCAAAACCAATTATCATGGAAGTAGAGAGCAGCTTCCTGTTTACTCTCGTTGCCTCACAAACACTCAAGGACCTTTTTTGTTGCGGCTGACTCCTTGATCCATTATCATTTCCGCCTTTTGAGCAATGTTTTTTCCTTTGAGAATCGTCGCACCTTGAAACCTATCGATCCCGCATTGTCCGTCCTATACGCCCCTAATTGTTATCCTATACGCGGGTCAAGCGTGGAAGCCATTGATGCAAAGTATTCCCTCGACTTTGACTGTACAATCGTTGAGTATCGAAGTGGAAACTGCACGGAATAACTTCATTAAAGACACGGCCAATTAGGATTGAACGAGTGGAGATGTGGAGACTTTAACGATTCAAGGCCGGATTAGGAAACGACACTTCTTGGCAAAAAACGAAGGCCAAGTATCGATAGAACTTTGGATTCGGATGACTTCAACCTGTGAAGTTTTATTCTATGGATATGAAGGCAAAGTCGTGATAGTAGTACTTACACAGCTGGGATCTCCCGTGTCTGTCGTAGCTTGTGAATGTGGGCTAAGCAGGTCTTTGTGGATGCTGTAGGTCAGTGTTCCCCAACCTTTTTTCACGTACAAGGAGCGAAAACTACAAACGTCAAACTCTGCAGCCTTTATCAACAGCAAAAGTCGTTTCCCACCAGAGCAGAGAACAATCTCGTTACCACAGCAACACACTGTTTACTTGCAGAAGTTAGCTTTTGATAGCCTGATTTGGTACATTTCAAGTTTTATTAACCAGTTTAAGCACGTATTAAGAGGGAGTATTAAAAGAGATTTTTTTCTCATGAGATTTTTTGTTTTAGATTTTTTCCGAAATTGGGGAGCCGTCAAAATGACTGCTCTGGGAGTTTTAGTAGTTTAAACAAATCTATTAGTCCTAGTGTTAGTGTCACATTGAAGATTTTTTGTTTTCCGGCTTTATTTATTATAATAATCAAGCGGATCAGCCAAAAATCGACTGGAGGAATGCTAACTTTTTGAAAAAAATCTATATCTATTGATCTATCTAATGTCCATCAACATCAGTTTCTGTAAGTGTTGTTATGAATGGTCCCATACCCCCAACATTTTTTTTTTCTGTTTTCTATCTGTTAAGACTTTTTTATCCTGAGGCAATATTGTACACACTTTTAAACCACAATGAGATTTATGTAACATTCAAAATGCAGTAGGTTGAATCCCTGTTTCTCTCTCCTGAATTATGGAAACATCCAAAACAGGATTCCTTGGGGCTCGGCCTCTGTGAGCGTTCTGATACAAGGACATTTAAAGCATCTGATATGGGTTTATTCTAATGTGTGTTGAAGTGGTATCTTTGATACAATAATAAAAAATAAAAAACCTGGATGTTTTGATACCACATTCAAAGTAATTGTCAAAGAAAATTATATTGTAAATCATGATTATCATAGGTACCATTTTCCAGTTAGTGTGTGTTGTCTAAAGGAGAGAAGATGAAAGCCACTAATAGTTTAAAAATAAATGTAAAAAGTAAAAGATTTCATTTTTGATATAAGCCAAAGATGATGGAAGCAGTCTTTGAAAACAGCATTGATGAGTGAGTGGAATATTCAAAATGCCAAAACAATTCACATTATACAGTAGGTCCTTGCTTTTGATTGCACCTCCAGAGAGGGTCTTTCTGTGTCTGCCTGTGCTGCAATTTCCCCGACCACTAAACACATGTAAGAGAATATCAGATGAACTTTATTGATCTTATAGTGTAGAAATGTACATGTCACATTTGGCATAGATCGAATCTCTCCGGGTGTGCAAAAAGACAGGAAGTGTGCAAACATGTTAAAAAGGTTCAAATTTAGTATGTATGTATGTATGTACGCTGTATAGTAGTTCAGGGTGCTGAGTATGTGACATGTACCGTCCCAACCAAAGTTTAAAATTATGCTGTTATTGTCTCTTTTGCTACCTTTTCAAAAAATATGTTTACATGTAAAGCTGGCAAACCTGTGTATTTAAATGTGTTAGTTTTATCTTTGTGCGGCACTTTGGAAACTTGTTTTATAAAATTTGCTATATAAAAAAAGGGGACTGAATTTTATTGTTATTATAGCTATTTATTATTATTGGAACACATTCATTTCTCAAAATAATAACTGGAACAAATCTACATTTCCCATAGCAATCAATGCAAACTGTGAAATTGGATATAATCCTTTTATTCCTTCAAATTCCACAAATTCATGGGTCATTGTATGTCCATAAAACGCAGTCCATCTATTCATATGTAGCTGCTGTGGAGTGGTTTCCCAAATAAACACACACACACACACACATAGACACACAGAGACAAACACACGCACACACACATACACTCAGCCCCTGACTTATGCAGAACAGACAGCAGCAGCTCCTGGGCCCGAGCCTCAGGGGCCTCCCCAGCAGCCGACCCTCTCACAGCACCGGTGGGTAATTAAAGGTCATCAGCTGCTGGAGGCTGCAACAAAATTACACAAAGCAGCGAATGATCAGCAGGACAAAAAGTCTATTTGTTTGACTACTGAAGTACTTATGGAGTCTGAAATATCCTTTACTTTACCATCATATGAGCTATAAAAGAGACCGGTCTGTTTTACTCCATGTATTTGATTTTATAGTTTAGTTAGAAGCTGTTCTCTATTATAGTTTGATTTTAATTTTCTCTTTTCTCCAGTGAACATGACCTGGGCGAGGACGACATCTACGACTGCGTGCCCTGTGACGATGACGGGGACGACATCTATGAGGACATTATCAAGGTGGAAGTACGACAACCCATGGTGAGAATCTTTGTGTGTGTGTTTTAGATGGCTTTGCAAATGACTCCAAATAGTCAAATAACATCTCATTCTATCTACTACTTACATTTATAGCGCAGTACTACCTAAAAATCCTCCTTGGTATGGCCTGTGATCTCTATGCCTATTTCTCTATCTGCTTTCTGGCTTACCCTGGGCCTCCTCCTGGTGGGACATGTCCAGAAAGCCTCCGCAGGGTGGCATCCTGGAGGCAACCCAAACAGATGCCCGAGCCACCATAACTGGCTTCTCTCAACATAGAGAAGCAGCGGCTCTACTCTGAGCTCCTCACCCTATCTCTAACTGGGCTCCATCTCTTTGAGGGCCCAGTTACTTTGTACAATAAATTAATTTTACTGCTTCTATCTGTGATCTTGTCTTTTCGGTCATTACCCAGTAGTTGACCATGACCATTGTTTATAAAATCAAACAATATATAGACATTTCTCTTACCATTAACAACGCATTTGCCCCTGTTTTTGTTGTTGCTTCCATAATAAATCTCTCCACCTCAGAGATTGTATATATGGGTGGACCCTAGTTTTGCTAAAACTGGCTTTTGACCATTGAAAAATAAATTAATCTTTCTCTGTAACTGTCTAAGATATGTTTTAACATTCAACATTATTGTGGCGTTTTCTAAATGGAGCCTTCTATCCTCAAATTCAACAGTATAACTCTCTATTGGCTCTCGTGTTGCTAAGTTGTTGCTGTATGAGAATTTGGCTCCAGATTCTTACCCTTGTTTGAGTTCCATCTTTTTGGCTTCTTTCCGAACGAGGCAAAACTATGGGCGCCGTCAGTACTCAATTTGTCCATTCCTATGTCGTATTAGCTAATCCACAAAATGCTAGTACCTTTATCTTCCTCTTTTTAAAGCAAATATCTCTACAGTATGTCTATTTATCCATGTTTTTTCTGACTTTCTCCTGCTCTGTGTTCCTTTCCTTTCCACGCTGCAGATCCGATACATGCAGGTAAGTCTTCTTGTCACATCTGACCACTCCATCAGTAAAATATATTCATCCAGCCAGACATGCCATCCCAGCCACCCGAGACCCCAACTGGAGAGCCGAGCGAGTGGGGGGGTGGAGGGGGGGACAGATGGGGCACGGGTGTTAGGGAGAGCGGCTTGGATCAGACACGTGTCGCACCATTACCTCCACTTTCCGCTGATTGGCGATGACTGTGGAAACCAAATGGTTTCATGCCTCAATTATAACACATACAGGCTGAGTGCAATTCATCAGAAATGGCGTGGTGGGTCAATCAGTGATTCTGATAAATTAAGTTTTGGTTTTCTGTTTTATTTTTCTTTTTTTCATTATTACAGCATATAAAAGAAAATCCTCCATTGAGGCTCAAGCCCATACATTTATTGGACAATCCAAACTGACCACTGCCACTCAGATTTCTTGCACGTATTGCGCCTTTTATGCTAAAAAAGTAAACTCTTGGTAAAATGTATTTGCTAGTAGAAATAACATACATTATGCTTATTTATAATGGCACGTTTTTTTTTTTTTTTTGCTTAAATTTAGTTTGTCATGTAAGATTGTTTTACTAGTTTTAAGATAATAATACTTCACAATCTTATTGGAGTAAAATAATTATTGATGCTTGTTTTAAGTATTTCTTTTCTTATTTCCAGACAACTTGTATGTTATGCTATATTTTAAGAAAACATTTCTCAAAAATGCTTCAGAAATAATTAAATCAAAACTGTTCTGTGCGTTTTTCTGTCGAAGGCCGGGACAAAAGTTACATTTATTCAAAAACGTGCAAGAATCTTAAGTGGACAAAACCTATTTCCTACAGATAATATAACTTCCTCATGTTGCTGTTCTGTGCCATCACACCACACCATCTCACTACTGACCAAAGATATATGGTCTTGGTTCGCTCTACTGTAGGTCTCATTAGGTCAATAATCTATCATGAGTAACTTCAGAATTCATCATCCTTGTGAACAACCCACACAGACCTACATACTCTGTGCATGTGCAGCGCGTCTGTCATGCATTCCCATTAGCCCAGATCTCATCCCATAGACTCACATGTCACTTTGTCAAGACCATTACCATCAAAACTGACCATAGGACTCGGCATTCACCAATACAACAAATACTGATGGATAGAATTAGCTTGGCTCCAGCGGACATTTAGCCCCGCCCACATAATATTTCCACTGAAATGTTTTGTAAGTTACGCTAAATGTCGGCTGGAGCCAGGCTAGGATAGCATGGTATTTTTAATTAATATTGGCCTTATGTGTAGGATAGAATTTTATGAGACTATATGTATCGTTTTAAAATGTAGTTAAACAAAATAATGGACCTTTTGTAGAATGATAAGTAAGTAAGTAAGTAAGTAATCTTTATTTATATACCGCCTTTCACAGACCAGAGTCACAAAGCGGTTTACAATTGTTATTATTTTTGGGCACTTGTCCTCTCACTCTACTCAGAGATGGGAGTGGGGTCGCCAATTGATTCACAATTTGACCAGAAAGGAAGACTAAGAAATCAAGAGTTTATTCCAAATAACATATATTCACATGCATACTGTACATGGTTGTAATATATGTGTGATATAGATTTGTATGTGTTGTTCTCGGTGCCCCTTTTCTCTTTTATTATTTTAGTCCTCCCCCTTTCCCTCTCCCACTCACCATCCCTTCATAAAAACTAGCAAAGCCTTAATATTGACCATACAAGTCCATTCAAGTCAATATTGAAGACTTTAAATGCAGAATACATAAGAATAAAAACTGATTAAGATTTTTATTTTCATTATTTGATTCCAATTGACATTTGAGTTTAAAAACCACACGTATCCAAACTCCTCAGAAATACTCAAACGGGGATAATCATTCAAGAAGTCAAGTCATTTTCAGTTCATGTAGTGAACATTACACTTTTAATTATTTTATCTTTAATTTGTTTCCTTGCAGAAAATGGGGATGACGGAGGAGGACAAGAGGAACTGCTGTCTGGTGGAGATTCAGGAGACGGAAGCCAAATACTACAAAACCTTAGAAGACATTGAGAAGGTGAGTTCTGCTGTGAGCTGGAAATGTCAATGTCAAATGTCAGGATGCCCAGAGCGATCGATGGTTATTATAGAAGGACACCTCAGGGGGCAGAGAATCCTAAAGCAATGCCCTTTCTCTTATTGTAAATGGAACCTCACGATTAAGGGAGAGACATTATGCAAAATATATAAATAATTAGTACTCATCTAAAACAGACTTGTAATTGTTTTTAGATCTATCAATTTTCTCCCGTTTCACTCCTTGCAGCAGTCTAAGCAGAGATGCCCAGACTTCCATGTTTTAGATGTAATTTTACCATTATGACATCACACTCATACATTTCCTGCTTTCTAAAACCAAAGATTGTAGTTTTGCTGTGTGTTTGCAGTCTGTAATTTTTAAATTAGAAAACATTTTTAAGTGTCTTGCCTGAGGAAACGGCAATAATGTGGCACTTTTTAGCCGCCCCACCGTGGCTCCCCATAGGTCTCCCAACACAGTTTTAACCAGTCCCTTCCCTGCTTAGCTCCACAGGTCTGACAGTATCTGGTTTTCACTTGCAGGGGGCGCCACACCTATCGGGTATCAGAACATATATTCTCCATACTCATAATATTAGTCAAAAACCTGTATTTTTGCTCAGCGGGGAATGACCATTATAACTGCATAGCTATAAAAAGCAGGTTAGATAAACTGAGGATCTACATTTTAAAATTCCTTCCCTGCTGATCGTCCTACTTACTTGTTCCCACTTCAACAAACTCAAGCAAAGCAAAACTCCTTCCCTCTCCAAAGAGCTCTCCCTCCTGCCCTGCACCTGTTCTCCAGCCGAGCCGTAATAGAATCCACCTGCATCTCCACAGCGCCTCATAACCCTCCTCCTCCCCGCTGCTAACACACCACCTCGGGCCGGACGCACTTCCTTCAGCGGGCGCCACAAATCATGCGCTCTGCTAATTTCATTAAGCTAAATGTGCATCGTGTGTTCTGGGCGCCGCCTGAGACCATGCGCGCGCCGAATAAATAAGCAAAGTATGATCAGCGGACCCGTTTGGCTTAATTGAGTTGGGGTTAGTAAAGCCGTCATGTACGCGTTGCTTCTGAGTTGATCTATTTGTTATCATTGCAGAGATGGGTGTATTACGAAATGCATGAAATATCTTGTTTTTTAGTTCAAGGAGAGATAATATTCTAAATTAACTTTTTTTTAATCATTTACCATTTTACGACATTGTTCCCTCCACAGACCTGGACTTGTTTTTAGATCTGTCCACGCTAGCATCAGGAACTTCAGGCACAAACATGTAACTCCGCCCCTTCAGTTCAAATCAGGGGTGTCCAAACTTTGTAGTAAGAGGCCACATTAACTGTCCAGACTTGTCTAAGGGCCTGATTGTAAAACGGTTTAGACTGGATTCAGGCTGTTTGAGGCTTAAAAAAGAGTTACATTAGCATTCGATATGGCATGTGGCGACATAATCACAAACGAAAGTCAGCAAATACAAATACAGTAAACAACATGATTCCAAAGGTTACGTGACTACGATGGTGGAGCTGAAGTTGGCTGGGTCACACTGTCAAAGTGCCTCAATGATTACTTTTGTGTTGGCGAGGCAGAGGGCCAGATAGAATGACGCATTTAGCCCTCGAGCTTGAGTTTGGACATGCCTGGTCTAAAGGCTCCTGGCTCTGTCCTGTTTTAGTATGATGTCATTGTACCACTATGACATCACGCTCAGAGCCTTCTAGCGATTTATGGGATTGTTTTTTTTTTTTTTGCAGATCTCAATTTAGATAATTCTATCCTTCCCATCTGGTGGTAACATATGCATGGGGCAGGCCAATAGCAGTATTTACCATTGATACTTGTTTCATTTTCTATTTTAAATTCTTTGACTTTCTAGAAAGCCAAAGTAAATATTCCAATTATCATTTAATGGCCTATTAAAATGTATAATAATTCTTCTTTTAAAGCTGATCTAAATCCCTGCATGTGAAAATTTCAGGAACTAGTAACTGTAAGTGGACTGTGTTATGGAGTTGATTTTCTGTGGAAAGTTTAGTACCCTAGCTTTAACAACAATGAATAGATTTGTCTTTTCGAAAACAGGGGTGACCTGTTTTCGTATATTTTCTATTTTTCTACATTTTAACAGCTTTTGAAAAGGAGAAGAAATACGATCGAAGCAACGACACATCTGCCCGTTCTACCAGCTTTTTTTTGTTATAGGTGCAAATTCTGAGCCAGAGAGGGGACAAAGTGGGCAAACTTTCACAAAGTTTCTGCCTCCAAGTTCAAAATCGGTGCATCTCCATCTGTCAATCGACCGCAGGAGCATTGACTTATCTTTTGTTGTGTTCATCGATCGCCTTGTTGCACTTTAGCTCTTTGTTAAACTGCTAAAAGCTCACACGGACACGAGAACGTTTCACTGAGTGCGTTTACAAAGCAAAAGTGAAAACCGTATTCTCTTCCGACTCCAATTTATTCCGATTTCTACCCATGCGTGCGAATTGAGGAGTGAAAAACCAGTCCGTTTGAAGGGGCTGGTGTCTGCCGATTCTGCTGCGGTCGAGCTGCATGTAAACACCTCAATTGGAAAAGAATGAGGCAACGGGCAGTGATGCATTTGAGCGCACAAGGAAACGCCAGACTTGTATTTGAAATGTTTGTATTTGGACGGGTGTAGGGTATCTGCTGGACATTTGAATTTATCCTACAGGGATCAATAAAGTATCTATCTATCAATCTAAATGTAAAAAGTTCATTTTGTCTCATGTTTAATGCTTAGAAGGTCACTTTTTTGTCTCATTAAAAGAACCTTCTAAGCCTCATCTAGCTACTGTATCTATCTACTCACTTATTTTGTTAGAGATTGAGACATATAGTCCATCACTGCAGCAGTTTTGTTCTGTTGTTTAGTTACTCAAAGCGATAAAACAACTTAACAGGATTTAATGTCACGATCCTGAATTAACCAAAATGCTCATAAGTGGTTGTTCGGTATAATATGGACAATCAATGATTCAAGAGACATCAGACTGGAGACATAGTTGATAGAAGTCTTGAATGTGTAATTGTGTATTGAGTGTGTAAAGCACCTGTTTGTGTCTCCTTTAATATGACAGTCTCCTCATCCAATAGGAACTAGAGTTTTACTGATTAACCAATTGAAACACGTCACCATAAGTACATCTTTTTAGTCAGAATTTTGCAGTAAACACGTCAGCAATACCAGTAGTGAGAAGGTCCAGCTTGCCTTGGGTTCTTGGCCTTTGGTCAATTGTTCCCACCATATTAACTGACTGGCTTGAGAGGGGCGACACGTTAGCTTAGTGGTTAGCAGTAGTAGTAATCCTTATTTATATAGTGCCTTTCACAGACCAGAGTCACAAAGCGCTTTACAATTGTTGTTGTTTTTGGCCATTTTGTCACTCACTCCACACAGAGATGGGAGCGGAGTTGCCACACAAGAGGCACATGCCAGACCTATTGTAAAAAATGTTTAGTGGTAGGGGAAACCGGAGGAAACCTACACAGACACGGGGAGAAAATGCAAACTCCACACAGAAAGGTGCTTTATAAGAACGCTGCGGCATTTCAATTACTTTCGCTACAGCAGCTGAGCGGGTCTAAAAATGAAACACCCAAAGTAACTACAATGTTTTGTGATCACATTGGCAGAGCAATAGCAATATTATTTAATTTTACAGTTACAAGGTTTGAGTGATAAGGGAAAGTTACAAGACTTCTTTGAAAGCGTCCAAAAGGTCTGGGGCTTAAGCCTTTGCAGACAGTACCAAAATTCACACGACCTGGTTGATAATACTACCAAATATAGTGCAGTTATGAACGTTCTCCATATTCTTCTGCTTTCTAAACGCTCTCACTGTTGCAAAGCTCACACAGACACAGCCATGTTTTAATGTTGAGAAGGTGACGTCTTGTTTCTGTTTCTCCCACAGAACTACATGATCCCGCTGAAGCAGGTGTTCACGCCACAGGAAATGGACGCCATCTTTGTCAACCTGGAGGTGAGGAAGAGTTTTAACACACACGGATCTGACGGGGGAGAAAATGTGTGAAGCGGGAAATGAAGCAAGAATGACGGCAGATTAGATATAAAACCCGAGTACTTGTTGACCAATCGCCTCTACTTACAAATGTAGTGGTAATAGTATTGTATAGTGTATACGGTTTAGAAATTATTGAGTTTTATTTTCAACTGGTTAGTTCTTTGTTTCTAAATTTGACTGGTGTCCTATACAAAAACACATTTAATAGTTATGTGGTTATTTTTCTTGAAAAATAATCCGTTTTTTCCCGGTGGTTTATAATCTTATGGAATGGTGGTGTGTCATTTTTTTTTTTTTTTGACCAATCGCCACTACATCTACTGTTGCTTTATTGATAATAATTTGTAATAGTTGTAGTATTGGTAGTGAGGTCATAGATCATAAACATTTACTATATACCATATTTATATAACCATTTACAGACCAGTTCTTTGATTAAAAAATGTCCCCTCGATATTCACGATTGAAAATGTTGATTTATTCAGCTTACACTGTTTGTCATTTGAACTAATATTATTTCTCACAGGTTTTTATCCCATTAAACAAAGTAATAAAACTTCTTTTTCATGAGTTTTGTTTTGTTTTATTCCCATAGGACGTGATTAAGGTGCACTTCGCGCTCCTCAGAGCCATCGAACTCAACATGATGAACGGTGGAAACGGCCTGGGCAAGATCTTCCTGGAATTCAAGGAGAGGTCAGACATGAGTTTTTCTACTTTAAAGGAGACGTATTATCCTTTTAAGCATGCTACAATTCTGAGGGCCCTGAACTACATTCGGGCGCGAGACTAGCGGTAATCTTTAAGTTATATATTTTGTTAGCAGTGCGTTGCTTTAGTACCATTTCATCAGTGATTGTTGAACAGCTTACAAGAAGTTGCGCTCATGCTAATGTTAGCAAATAGATCGCAAATAAAACTAGAGGGCTCCATGGGATGAGAGCGTAGGAGAAATGAGAAGCCTGTGAGTGAGTTGGGGGCGGTGCTAAACATTCAAACCTTGCAGAAACGGGTATAGCTCCTTTAATTTATTCCCTGCCCTGGAAAAAAAATCCTGCTATAATTCTAAACCGCAAGAAAGTGCTAAAATATATGAATAAATGCCTCAATCTGGTGGCATTTAGACAAGATCTGTTTATTTATTTTCTCATTCCACAGGAGACATTTCTCGTATCTTTTTTAAAACAAGATCCGTTGTAAGGATTGTAATCTTGTTGTAAGGAAATCAAAATGTGCTTAAATTACAAACAAGACACATTTTTCCAAGATTGAGCAATTCTGACTTATATTTCATCCATTTTTGCAGTGTAGTTCAAAATCTTGCCTGCTAGCTAAGTTTTCTTCCAGCCCTATGTGTTTGCCTCTTTTTCTTTAGTAAATCCACATACACTATCTTTCATAAACGCTTCCTCATTGTCTGAACAGCTTCTATCCCACGTGCTGCCCTTGAGCAAGTTCTTAATTTGCGTAATCCATTCCTGAGCTGCATCCTCCCTGCAGGGGGGGGAGACCATACAAACGCCGAGTGGGTGTGACACGGAGATTAATAGCCAGCGACATCCCCATACTCTTCCTCACAGTAGCATGCACACGCTGCAAACGCCGCCAAGTCTGCGTTTAGGTCAGCCAGTCCTGATCTCCCTGAGCTGGGGGATGTTCGCACGCAATCGCAAATACTCGGACAAGGTTTTAAACCAGGCGAAGGTCCGCTGAACAGGGAGGATTTAGGACGGAAAGGAACAAAAGTGAAATGGGGTGATGAAGTTGACCGGAAGCTTGATAAAACTCGGGAAGGAGAAGTGCAAGGGCTAGCGCTGACTTGTGTGTGTATTATTTTTGACTTGTATGTGTATTATTTCTATCTGTATGTTTTAAATGTGAAGCGCATTGTGATATTTGTCTGTGAAAGGCGCTATACAAATAAACTTTACTAACTTAGTGCTAGACTGATATTAGCTGAAAACATCCAAAAATCTACTTTTGTTTATTTGCGCTAAGGTCTTATACCTATACAGACCTCGGATCAAAGATTATGAATGACAAAAAAGGTAGAATATACAGTATAAGAATGATTACTTGGCAAAAACAGTGCTATAAGAAAAAAAAAATATTGGAAAGACTTGCCCTTAACTATATCGTTTTTTGAAGATCCAGATCTATTTCATGGCCTTTTACATACTGTTTCACCCCGTATTGAGCCAATTCATTTCAACTTTACTGTCAATAGATTCAAATAAATTTGTTTTGCCATTTGCAGTAAAACCACATTGGAATACATTAGCAAAAGTCCCCAGTGTGCACAAGACAAGTACATACATGAAACACATAAAACAATTGTCACTGTGAAATCGATCGGCTAAAACCGTTTCAATACAAGTGCAAGAATATTTAAGTAAATAACAAAACATGTTTGCAGCTAGAGAAATACAAGATCATGATACATTTTGAGATGTTTGAACTCTTCATATGTGGAAAGTGGTGCAAATAAAATCAGTTATTGTTGATGGTTGGGTGAAGCCTTGTATTGTAACGAATAGGCAAAACCCTTAACATTTTGATATTGTTTTAAAATTAATTCTATTTCTGTTGTTCAAATTCAAATGTGAAGCCAATACATGAGATGGATGTGTTACATGCAAAGTGACATATTTAAAGCCTTTGTTTGTTATTATATTGAGGATTATGGAGTACAGTAAAGTTTCAAAATATTCTAATCGTCAGATATGTTTTAATTGTTTTTTGTTGTTGTTGCTTTGAGCCTATTAGCAACATTATCACAATTACAGGCTTGATAAATCTCACTTTGCGTGTCATGAGCGTGAAATGCATTAGTTTCAAATTGAATGAATGACAAAAGTAACTGGACCTTTTAAATGACGTCTTAATTTTCAGCTATGAATGTGTTTTCTATTTTCAAATTACAATGACAACAGAAACTTCTCTTCTGTCCCTGATTAGAAGTCTCCATCCCCCAGTTCTCGATGCGGTGTATTTGCCCTTTAACATCTTTGACATCTTGGAGTCAGTAGTTGTGGATGAGGTTCTTTATCTTCTCTGCCCATTCTTCTTGGTAAAAAGTCCTGGGCTGCCTTGCATGAACTGCAGGTTTGAAGTCTCCCAAGATTAGCTCAATGAGGATGAATATTGAAACTAGATTATGTCACACAACCATTAACAGTGCGTGAAAAATAGTGATATTATTAATTATATACAAAATATGGATGTGTCCATTAACCAATAAGTAAAATTGTATTACAGATCAAAGGCTGTTTATTCCTAATTTTAATTTTGTGTGATGGAAGTTGAATGGGATCCATGCTTTCTGAACGGGGTTTTCAGATCTCTTTTTGTTTACATAATTGGTGAAAACAACTGCACCATTGGGATGGGATAAGATAGATCACATTTTTTGACATGCAAATTGCCTCAATTAGCGGCGCTGTTGTGGCAGTGGGACAAGAACTCACTCAGATGTGACAGAAACAGCTGGAGATGGTGTTGGAGGATATGCAGAATTACTCAAAGGTCATCATTTATGTATTTGAACGTGGCAATTAACCAAACGAGATTGGAGACGTTAAAAACACACAATTTTGTCACAAACATCATCCTGTTGCTATGACTCTATTATCAAGGGCTTTTAAATATGGTAGGATAATAAATTCCTCCCCTCTCATTAATGACTATATTCTGTTGGGTAATTAGAAAAAAGTATGAAATATTAGGTGCCAATAGTCATGATTTTTTTTTTTTTTTTTTACTTTAGCTCAGTCCAGTTGATATGCAAACAGCTTTGCGGCAGTTAAAAAGAACAAAAAAACATTTCATACAATGTTTTTCTGTGGGTGGGTGTGTGTGCACGCTCAGCTGCGCCACTGTGGTGTTCCCAGAGGTCTCCCATCACAGTAGTAACCAGGCCCTGCCATGTTTAGTTTCTGAGATCTGATGGAATCTAGTTTTCTCATGAATCATGTCTAAAGAAGTGCTACAACCCTCAAAACAGACAGTTTTTCTTGAAGCTTTTGAGTTTTGTGTTGAGTTTTTCTAATGTATTTTTTTGGTTCCTGCTCACTCTTTTCCAATCTGAGTGTAATACAGTCTAGCATGGGTAGACTGAATAGCACTTTTGTTTAGCACTTTTGTTTAGCACTTTTGTCTCCCCGTGTCTGCTCTGGTTTCCTCCGGGTGCTCCGGTTTTCCCTACCACTAAAAATATGCACAAGAAGTTTAGTTAGTAAATGGATGGTGTTGGTTGGGGGCCTTGATGTGCCAATGTGATCGGTGTCTCGCTTCATCGTCCCGTGTGGAGTGAACAATATCTGAACTCTGAACATTGTAAGGCGCTTTGGGTGACATGGTCTTTAAAAATGCGCTACACTTTCTACTTCTAAATCAAAACACACCATGTTGTCTTTAAACCTTAATAGTTGCAAGAGTATCCCCCTACCTCAGAATCATCATGAATGCCCAAAGAAAACCTCAAATTCATTTCCTTTTCAAAAACACATTTCCTGATGACCACTCCTCATTGGTCCGTCTTACTTCGTCCATCTCTGGAAGTATGTCGGGTTATTTAAAGCCAGCGCTCATTAGATTTGCAGATGTTGTGCGTCACTCGCTCTTTCACTCTGCATCTGTGATTGACACGTTGGCCTGCCTGGTGTCGGTGCGTTCAATGGCGCACGCTGACCTGGGATTTCGCAGCCTCTCAGGTCCGCTCACATTAGCCCCTGATGGGCATAATTAATTTGGTTATCGGTGCTTGTAAGCCGCTCTGACCTTTACGACAATGTGCTTGTAGTGTTTCTTTATACGTGGCCAAATGAGATGAAAGGGTTCGCTTCTATTTGTCGCTGGACTGAATGCCAAACTGAAAAGGCCAGCGGTTTATCTCCACTACGTCTCAAACTCTTGAAAAGGGGACAGTCAATTAATTGGTCTTTGAAGAGAGCACTTGTTGAAATTCTCATTTTGGAAAGAAGCAAGCAAGTAATCTTCATTTATAGAGCACATTTTTACAGACCAAGGTCACCCAAAGCCCTTTACAATGTTCAGAATTTGGACCAAAACCATCCATTCACTCACTCAATACATTCAGACCTATTTTGCATGTTTTTAGTGGTAGGGGAAAACGGCGCACCCAGAGGAGAAACTACGCATCAAAGTGCTTACACAGAAAAAGGAAGAACATGCAAAATCCACTCAGAAAGGCCCTATTTTGACCCGGATTCGAACCCAAGACGTTCTTACTAAGAAGTGAGTCGCCAACGGTCTCACCAAAGTAACATTTTGTGAACAAATCAGTCTTCATCTTATTAGACAACATTTTATATTGTGCATACTTGTAAGAAAGGGCACTACTTATTTTCCTGAGAACTTTGAGGTGCTTTGTGTGTGAACTGGGCAGCATGTTGGCTGAGAGGATAGCACTCTTGCCTCTCAGCATGAAGGTCCTGGGTTCGAATTCCGGTCGAAACAGGGCCTTTCTGAGTGGAATTAGCATGCTCTCCCTGTGTCTGCGTAGATTTCCTCTGGGTGCTCCGGTTTCCCCTACCACTAAAAATATGCTCATTAGGTAAAATCCACCCAGCTCTGGTCCTGACTAAGCCGAGCATCAACATCTGGAGATGGGTTTCCGGGCGCTGTACTACAGCGACCACTGCTCCTGACGTAAGCCTTAGCGGCATCAGAATGGG